CGATGTCCTGGGAAGCCTGGGGGGCACATGAGCTGCTTCGGGGTTTGGAGAACAGTCACTCTCCCTTCACACCCACACACACCTCTTAGGGTGGGTGTCAGATGTCCCCTAATGTTTCTTTCACTGCCTGATGGAAGGAACAGCCTTTTGTTCCAGTGGTGCAGAAGTGATCCGTAAGGCTTATTTCTTGGCCTGGAAAATCTGTTTGAGGGCTGGTGACAGCTGCCATGCTTTTCTTCAGGAAACCTGAATCTTTGCTGCCAGGATTAAGTAGTAAAAGCTCTGCTTTGATTTAGTTTCTCTGGATTCGCTGTTCTCATGGGCCATGGCCTCTGGGGAGCCAGTGCCAGCTACAGAGGGAGCTGCTGCTGCAGCGGGCAGAGGTCCAGGCCAAGCTGGGACGTCACACGGAGGCTGTCCCAGAGCTGGTGACACCTCTGCCTACTCCACACAACTGGAAAATCACCTCGTGGATCCTTTTTGTCACAGTCCCTTTTGGCAAGGTTGAAGGTGGCACTTGTCTGTTGCCCTCGGGGCCTTGCTGTGTGTGGGGCCCAGCCCATGCCCCTCCACAGCAAGGCCAGGCCTCTGTGTGGGGAAAGCCTGGCCAGGCTCCCAGGCATCTGTGTGGTGTGGGGGGCAGTGGATTTTGGAAGTGACAGGTCATAAAACCAGATACTCTGTGAATGATGCAGATAATCTAATAAACGTATTAGCAAGACCCCACTCTGGAGCCACAACTGCTTCAGTCAGGGCATGCCTGACTGACTAACGCTGGAGCATGGATGCGGGTGTTTCCACACCCCTGGGAGTGGAGGGAAGCTGTGGTTTGTCACCTTATTACAGGTCTGCTGTCAGACCCAGGAGGGGAAAAGACAAGCTGGCGGCATTAGGAGTCATTGTCTGACTGGAAACTGAGGGTTGGAGCCTGGCTGCACTGAGTACAGAGACTCTGAGGTGTTTCACCTAAACCTGCTGGTTAAAGATGTGTCTTTTCTCAAGACCTCTCCTTATCAAAGATCCAAGCTTTCCAGAAACTGGGTCAGGTGGCCTAAAATGTAGAGTAACATTGAGAAATGAGGTCACTGAATGCAGGGGGAAGGGATGGAGCAAAAAAAATTGTCTTAACTATTCTATTCTCTGCTTATCCTTCTGCACTACCTGTTTGCCCATGAAATTTCTAGCCTAGGCAGGAAATGTAGCCTAGAGATAGGTTTGATAGATATTCTGCCTTGAAATTACATACATCCCCCAACAGAAAGCAGTGGAAATTTTATTCTGCCCATATTTAAGGTAAGGAATGCTTTTTTTCCATGGTTTGAACACTTCCACTGATATAACTACATGAAGATAATGCTAGGTTAAAAAGGATTAGTCTATACCAAAACAGGATTGTCCTTCTAATCACAGCTTGGCACCAAGCATGCAAGAGCAAATACTAAATGATGTGCTTTTCCTACAGGTCTGGCTTTTATCTTAAGGGTAGAGTCAGAAATCCAGCCTCAAAAGATCATTGTCAAGAGAACATCTCCCAGTACCTTTTCTGATTCTCCTCCTCTTTCCACACAGAATGGGGAGTGAGCAGGCAGCCATGTGGTACTTAGGTGTCAGCTGGGGTTAAACCATGACAGCAGACAAAATGAACTATGACTCAGAAGAAGTGCTTCCTTGATGCAAGGGTAAATCATGATCAACTCTTTTTATCATGGCTGCCTTAGTAGTGAGAAGTGCTGAGAGCCCTCTTCCATTTCTCAGTGTTTAGACACTTCAGCTTTCACAATGGTGGACACAAGGGCTGCTGTATGTCAGGCTTTCAGTGTACAAGGTGCAGCTGAAACAAATAGTTAGATACCTTGTTTCTTGGACAGCACCAAAGCTGATGGACTCTTGCTGATGAGCAAGGCCTATTTCTAAACAGATAATCAGGTACTCTTTGAGACAGTCTTTGTTCACCTGGTGCTATGGTTCCAATTTAAATCAGTAAATGCAAGAATACTCTGGTCAATACTGTAGTTTTCCTGTCTGAGCTCACTAGTGACTAATTTCATAATGCATTTCTTTCTGTCCATCCTTCATGACAAGTGATAAGGAAAAAATTACTGATAATATTCTCCAGCGACCTTCTGCTTAGATGTTTTATGATAGTGCCTTTGAGAGGGAAGCTGCCATTCTGAACCACAGTGTTCAATAACATATCAGAGGCCTGTCTGTTCTGTGTCTCCTTGGGTATTTTCTCCCTCTTAGAGCCTCTTAGGCTCTTCCTCTTAGACATGACAGCAAATTTGTTTCACAGTAATTGGGTTAATAATTAAGGGAAAACCACACAAATTCAGAAGTTTTCTTTAGGTGCTTTTGAGGTAAATACTCTTCATTTTCACATTTAATGGTCCCTTTTTAAGGTACACTTGACTAATTTCAAAGTCCATTTACTTTAAGCGGTCAAGGCATCCCTAGCAACAAAACCCTCCTTACCCATGGCAAGAACCAGCCATGTTGATGGGGTTCCTTGCCAGGCACTCTTGAAATCTGTGTCATTACATTTGAGCCTGTTTGCCCTTATGGGTACAATGTAACAAAGTTCTACAGCTCTTACCATCCACCTTCCATGCTGATAAATTAGAATGACAATAATACATTTTTTTTTTTTTTGGTGGACTGGGATGTCTCATCTCCATGGCTGAACATCAGAAGATCTACTTGGCTTTTGAAAGCTCAGGTTCAATAAAAAGTGACACTCTCAATAGGTTCTCAGGTTTCTGAACAATTTTTTCGTATGTGCTCTTCATTAAGTTGGCAATCTGTTCTTGTTCTATCTATGGGCTGAACAGTAAAACAAATACTGAGTTGAATACTTTCTTTCCATGATTCTAATGTCTGCTGGAAAGTTTCCCTTAGCTATGAAACAGATTTTTGTCTGTTACAACCACGGTATTCAGATTCACATTGCAGGATTCTACAACTGAGCAAGTACCAGGAAACCCTTCAAAGTAGCTTGTACACTATGTTTCAAGTTCCTCACATCATACCTATGTATAAAATGGAATGTCCAACAATTTTTTATTAAAAGCACAGATACTCTTTTCTGCAAAAAGATTGCCTTTTTCCTTCTAAAAAGACACGAGTAGTAGATGGGCAGTTCATGTTCCAACTCAGTCATGCATGCTTGCTGCTTTTATTTGTCCTTTCATTAACTCTCTCAAGATTTGGCACAACAAGAGCATTATATAAGATTAAATAATTCTTACATAAGTCTGAGTGAATGCCTTTCATGAAGTACTGGGTGCTTATCATGGCTATAAGTAAAAATGAATCACTTCCTTTTCAAGCTGGAGCTTTCAACCTTGTATTCTGTGTGGTTAATTGCCACAAGCCAAAATAACCTTTTGAGCTCTATGAATTTTCACAGCTGCAGACTGGAGAAAAAACCTCACACTGATAAATAGAAACTTAAGAATTTCCAAAAGAAATTATGCCACACTCCAATTGCCTCTTTTTGCACAAAGCCCAACTCATTTGTGCCAGAATGTTAAATGTTCCTAGCGCATGGCGCTAGAGCCAAGAACCTGAGTATCATCTAAAGGACAGAGTGAGAAAGAATAAAGCCAGCACAGTATGAATTCAACACTTCAAGAACAGCATGGAGCACAGCCAACAGGTCAGGAAGTGTAGGTAATTAAGCTTTTGCTAGAAGCTACACATCAAGAAGGATCAGGGCTCAGCATCCCAGAAACAGAATGCAAGGGAAGACTCCAAACAGGTTCCTATATATAGGGAAATACAGGAATGTACCTTGTGCATGCTTTTAAGCTAAGAGAAAAAGTATGTGTATTACAAGGCCTGATTAGTATGTGGAATAGGAATCAGCAAATCAGGAACCTAGGAGGAAAACTGGGAGAAAAGCTCATTTCCAGTCTCCTTAATGGAGGAAACATGTGAGAACCAGTACTGGGAAAGGTCAGAAATTGCAGAAGTAATACTGTGACTGCAGTCATAAAACTCAGTTATGCTGGAGGAGAAATTCTTTGGCCTATCATCCTCCTCCACTCTGGGATGGTTATCTCCTAGATACCAGAGTGAATTCCTTGCTTCTGTAACAGACAAGCGAGAGCAGCAGTGAAGGACCTGGTGTGGGAAGACAAAGTCTGTGTAGAGAAGTACTGGGCTGGCAGTAGGAAGAAATGGAAAGAAAAGCGAGGGTGAAGGTCAGAAACACTGGCTGTCTTGTTAAGGAGAAGGAAGGAATCATACAGAAGCAGATAAAAATATTTGATAAATATCAAATGAAGCAAACAATCTCTCTGTTGCATGATAAAGAAGACCTAAACCTGGAGAGAAGGACAAGGTTAAAATATTCTGCTATAACAGCACGCCTAATCATCCATACAGAAACTGGCAAACATAGGAATGGGAAGTATGGAATACAGTCAGTATATTAAAAGACCAGTGGATGGCAGCATATTTTTACTACCAAAATACTGGTCCTCATGCCACATGCTTTGGTTGTAGCTCCTCTGCTGACTAATACTTCATATACCCCAAGAACAAATCCATGTTTGACTCTAATAAGTCAGCACAAGCTGCAAAGATTTGTGCTTTTCATGTACAAATTACGTTTCTCCAAGACAGTGGTGACCACTATTGTAGCTGTCTCACACTGAGTCATCTGGGAAGCCAGGAGCATGGTTCACAAGGATAGCATGAGAGTGAGACATCATGTGACCCAGCTGCACACAGCTGCTACGAGTTTATAAGAATATTTCAGGAATAAAAACTCCAAAGGCTACGCCCGAAGAATCACCTTTGAGTATTACTCCTGATAGTTTAGAGTGGTCTCAGTTCCAGGTTCTGCTATGAAGCTCATGAGATTTTCTCCATAGTTGCGTATAAGATCTGTAAATTATAGAGAAATTGCTTGAGATATAAAATTATATATAAAGACCAAACCTGAGTATCACCTCAAGTCATAGCATAACACCCATCCAACGAAAAACTGGTGAGCATTAAGTAGTTAAAGGGAAAATTTATTTGCTAATTAGACTTCAGAAAAAAGATGACATTATTCTTGATTACCATATTTATTGATAAGTGGAAAAACCTGACAAGTCTTAATGGATTTGACTCATTATCATACGTACTGTCTGTATTCCCTTCAAGTGAGAAAAAAATATAAATTTTAAAAGAAAAGCTTCTAAATTAATTTGATAAACAGGCTTACAATAACTTTCTGAAAGTTAGAAGGAAAGCTTTTTCAAAACTTATAGCTCATGTTTTCTGAAGCAAAACACTTAATGTAAAGCACACCTGACATCAGACTTCCATACACCTCAGAGGTTTTCTATGTAGTCTTCACTAAAGTGTACTTACTAAATGTTTCACAGCATCAGAGCATGAGTTCCTCCATCAGCTTCAAAACCTGTGAACTAGATACTCACTGTAAACAATGCTTCCATAAAAGAACAGTTCAAATACAAAAAAAAAGAAGAGGGCATTAGTAGCCAAGTTTCTTTGGGAGATAGAAGATTGCATTTGGTTCTGACTTCCTTAGTAAGAGCAGCAGAAAAAAGCATGGTAATGATTTCAATTATTTGAAGCTCTTCGATTTTAAGAGCATTTGTAAAAACAGGACCAATTATAAGAAACTGATATTTGCATAATTAACTTTAAAACAAGGCATTTTGTTAGTGATAAATGCATTAAGAGCTGAAATAATAATGTTAAGACAAGCTATTGTTTGTCAACTTGTCAGATATGTGTGCTGAAGCTTCCCTTCTAATTACAAGATGTTTAGTACAGCACAACAGATATTTTAAAACAAATACAGAATCTGGAATGTGTTTTCAATTGTAGAACAATTCATCTGAGAAGATTACCATGACAAAATATGAAAAAAAAACCAAAAAGAGGATGGAAAGCAATGATTTATAGACGTTCTAATTTTTCACTTAGAAATTCTTCCACACTATCTGTATTCCACTTGAGGATGCTCAGTTCTTCTGCGATGTTCCCACTGTCGTCCAGCAGCTTTAGTACAGGGTCAGAACCACGCACATACTGTGGGGAAAAAAGAGTCAGTTACCTTGAGCAGGAAATGCATTCTCCATATTAACATCTCCCCCGCTCTCAAGTGATTTAAATCAGTTCAGACTTCTGGCTTGCATGTAATGTCAAAGAGAGCAAAGTGGAGGAACAAGTCAAAGGAAGGGGCGTGAGAGTGTGTGTCAGAAACATCTGTTTGTTCTCCTTGGTGCACCACAGCAGTTAATGCATGTGCAGAGAGGCAATGCCATAAGCCTGGCTTTGAAAGGTGATATTTACTTCAACTGTTGCAAGTTACTGAAGTTGGATTTTTAAATCAAGCAGATGAATGATCTTTCTCATATGATCAATAGCCTTTTTACCATCTTAGAAATTTCAGGTCACTTCAACATGTAAAAGTTTTATCAATTTCTAATGCAATCACATACTTCTCTGCCGTGTTGTATCTGTGCCTACTACACTTTGCTGGTAACACAATTCTTTAATGCTTCTGCAAACTCACTAAGTCACAAACAGGTAATGCAAATAAAAGCTTTTAACAGTATTAGAAAGCTCTGACCATTTCAGTTTATGAAAAGATTTCCCCAGGAGCATTTCACTTTGCTCGACTGAGCTAACCTAGTTGGTTTTACTTAATGAAGCTAGCGGCATCTCTAATCAGTTTTCCAAAAGTCTTGTAGAATAAATACAGATTAATTTGCACAACATTTTTTTTCTGGTAGTGCTCTACACCAATTGTAGTCTAGACTGCTTTGATGTTCAATAAATCTACAAAGTTTAAAAAAAAAAAAAAAAAGAAATAGTCAGACGTGCAGAAGGAGAGAAAGCTTTTGAAAGAAGCTGGAGGACACGGAGACATGAATGTGTGAGACAGACAGAGGAAATCTGTTTTAGATGGAATCTGCTGCTGAGAAGACAAATCACTTATTGCAGCCATGCATAGCTATGAAGTGATTCCAGATGGTGCCATTTGGGGAATAGAGATGGGAGCACAAGATGTGAGAATCAAGATGTGTATCTGCAAAGTACACTCAAAGTTCACACAGGATTTTAAGAAGAAGGTGAAGTCTAACAGTAGATCTTGAAACCAAAGAATTGTTGGGAGTTAAGGCAGTGTAGCCTATGCAGATTTGTACATATGCAAGTCATAAGAAACACCATTCAGTACATGCATTTCTATAAAGTTGGATGTTTGAAGTCTATAAAATAAAAACAGCACAATAGAACACAGTAAGACAATTCTGAGAGGGAGGAGAAAAATATAAGAATCATTGAATGTGTGGAAATGGCAGCTCCATAAAAAAATGAGGAGAGAATAGAATAGGAGAAAAGGAAACTGTGGCAGAATAAGCTTGAGTAAATTCAAGATATCCACAAAGTAAGGACAGAATGTAAGCATTCCTCACATTCTTTTCCCATCTGCTATTACGGGTTACAGTACAATTTTTTTCTTGGCTTAAGACCAAACAACAATAAAATAAACCAAACCCCCACCACCAACAAAGAATTGGTACCAGTTACTGAGCAACACACAAACTAATATTACTAGCAGAAATTTGTGAAGATACATACTGGCAGTGCAAATTTACGTCCTCTACTAAAGGATTACCTGATCAGCAAATAGAGAACAATCCACAAGAGGACTATCTCCACCAAACTTAATTCTTCCTAACATCCTGCAAAAAAAGTTAGGCTACGACTCACCTTGATTTGCAGTCCCCTGAAGAGCTTTGGCTTATCACTCCTGACAAAAGCTATGGTTGAAGAAAAGAAAGAAAAAAAAATCAAACTCTTCTCCACTTGCATTAAGTATATATTTACATCAAATTAGTATTCCACAAATTATTTCTTTTGGAATGATGCTTTAGAAGATATTTTAATGTTATAAACCTTAATATCTTAACAAAATTAATAATGCTAAACTTACTATGCCAGAGGAACACCTATTTTTGCTGGTAATCTGAACAAGATTCATATCTGCTTGGATTTTCCTCAAACACTAGTGCAACTGTGTAAGTCAGTTTATCTGCACATACAACTGACAGCCTTCAGCAGACTGGCCCATATGCTACTGTGATACACAAATGTGAGGAGAAGTGTTGGAGCGATCAAAATCTGGCTGCAGATAAGCTTTGTGAGGGAGGCTGAATATGACACCCATCTCATCAGCACACTCCACACACTGCAGCAGCGCGGGGGAAAGGGCACAGAGGAAACTGTGGGTAGAGGTGTTATTCTTGCAAACAAGACAGACAATCTTGTCTTGCAGAGATCTCTGAGATTATGTGTTGAAAACCAGCAAAAAAACAAGACCAGGAAACAAGAAGAGGAGCTGGTATCTCCTCTTCTCCTGACACTCCTAACAGCAATCGGCTTTAAGACGGACTCCATGGCCTGTCAGGCAGCGACATGGAGAGAAGTTCCATCTGAGGTGGGGCTGCTGCTGCACAACTCCTCACTTGAAGCACTAGTCAGCAACCAGTGGGTATTAACAGCAGCACAGTCCTGTATCCCTACAGCACGACCCAGGCTTTGTGTTTACCTTAACTCTGAAAAGACAATATAAATTATTTCAGGATAAATTGTGAGCATAATCCCCTCCTTCCAACACTTTACCCTACTGAATGCCTGAGTTCTAGAAGTATTTAAAATTTATTCAGAAAATACAGTCCTCGTTCCTTCCTTTTTACAGTCAGGCTGTGCTAAAGGCTGAGTTTAGTATCTGTATTGACATTAAGTGGATTCAGGACACTCCTGCAGTACGTCAGTAGCATTTCCCCAAGGATGAACCCTGTCAGTATGGATTGACTCTTACAAAGGTGCTGGCTGCATGTTCAAGCTGCTTTTTCAAGGTTAGACTACAATGAATCTCTCACAAATGGCACTGCATCCAGCTGGTGCAGGGAGATGAGTGCAACCTCAGGACTAATGCTTCATCCTGGCTCACAGAGTGCAGTGCTTTCCTCCATAATTGCAGACATGTCTCCTGGCATCTTTATATTACTGCAGTTACCTGAACACTTTCTAACGTGGTTATACAGAGTGGCACTTATTTTCTTCCCTCTTCCACTGCGCTCCCGCTACAGATCAAAATCATATACTCTGCCTGCTGCCCCAACCACTACACAGTATAAACAAGGTAAAAAAATACCAATGGCCCAAGGACCTGCCAGGCCCTTGAAGAAAATAAGACTTATTTTTGTTCCTTCTACAGGACTGTACACTAATGTCATTTGTAACCTGTACGGTATAACAATTCAGAGTAGCACTAAATAACCAGTACTTGCTCACATACTCTCTGATTTAAACTCAAAGGCATATTTGCAACTTCAGTGTTCCCCATGTCCTTGTGACCTGTCATCTTGGCTGCCATCAACAGTAACATGCAAAAAACCGGCAAAGATATCTCTTATTCTTTGTTATGTCCACAGAACAGTGACCTATTTCCAGAGGAATTTTTCCACATTTTTCTTCAATTTAAATCTAAAGCTAAAGTCAGTCTCTAGGGCTTTATATGAATAGGAAGTTGTAAGAAGCAGTCAGCATAGTGAATAACTTAATGCAAAACTTAAAAATGGTAAGAGAGCACAGTAAAATGGATAAAGTTTCCAAAGCAACTCCGACAGAACTCAAGAACTCAGCTGCATTAAAGAATAGCCTTTGGGAGTTACTTCAGGTTACAGCACTTTAAGCTTGTAACAGGTGTGAGAATTTGTTACTTGAGGGACAGATGAAAGCTCATTTGGACATGAGCGGCTGTTCTCTGGCTTCAGTGTCGGACTGAACAAGCTCATATAAAATGGAAACAGAATTAGGAAGAAGAAGAAAGTATTCTATAGGCAGCATTACATTCTGTCATGTTAAAAGTAGCTATTACACACTTGAATCAATGTCAAATGTCTAAATTTTCTGAAAGCTGAAGCGCTACAGAACATTTTTCCTGAAATTTTAGACAGCTGGAATGAAATTAGTTTCTGTTATGGCATATTTATTTCTAATGCTGATCATAGTGACTTTCTGCATCAGTCACTTGAACTTGCAATGCAACAAAGAAAAACACTCACTGTACAAATAATTTGTATATTCTGAATTTTAGAAGCTAAAATGGGAAACTTAAATACTGACATGCATTAAAAATACAGATTATCCCATCAAATACATTTTTTCTTTTCCACCAAATCAGTCCTTGAGTGGAATTAACAGCCTTTGAAATGAATTGATGGGGTTAGGAAGTCAGATGCAGCTACAGTGCACCCTGTGTGTTTGGGACACACAAGTGCTTGCTCATCATGGGATGTGGTATAATATACTCCACCTTCAGCCCTGCCCCAACAGTTCCTCCTCCGTGCCCTGACACCAACGTTGTTGCTTCCTGCATCTAAAGGCTCCTCACACATCATCTTTACACCATTCTATACTACTTTGATGTCTAATATTGAAATTCTAGTTATCTCCTCATTTTCTTCTCTCTGTAGCAGCTTTAAAAATTACCACAGAGAAACAAGCATTTCTCCAATCCCTCCATGGGTGAGCAGGGGAGGCATTTTCCACTTTGATTCTGTAAGATGAACTCTGAGCTTGGTGCCATGACACAATGTTCTGGTGAATTAAACACAAGAGTTATTCTACTGACAGCTTTGCAAAAATCACTTTACCTCATGCTCTTATAAAACACGTGCAATACCAAAGCGCACACCTTCTGTTGGAAGGCACTCCTGAGGTGTTCCTACAGAGCAGACTGTATTGCCACACAATCAACTACAACTAAAAGGTCAGAGAAGGATCAGGTCTGTATAAGCATTTAAAAGCCTGCCCCACACCACACTGTTTTGCAGAGAGAGGTAATACTGAACGGTGCTTTCAAAGACCAAAAAGCAGCCTCTACCTATGAACACAGCAGAATGCAGAACTCACTGCTATTGTTACAAGGTCCCTTTGTTTTGATATATAACACCTCTTTGTTTTAAGAAAGTCTGTGAAAACTAGTTCTGTTGGGAATGAAGCTGAGAGTCCTAAGGGGAGATTATTAAAGAAATCAAGCATCATTGTGGCCCAAACAGCAAGTCTATGTATATGCACACACACACACCTGCACTCTTCTTTTTGGGGTCATCAGAACAAAGAGTTGCTCTGAGTTAATTTCAATAAACAGAAAGCAAATGTAATAGTACTTCAGATAAGCTAATGAAACAAAGGGTAGTCTGCTTAATTCTGCACTGAATTATTAATGACAAGCCATTTGAAAGTAAAAGATTTTACTGGAGACACAAGTTTGTACCTAATGTCACAGAACAGTACATAAAAAAAGGCACAAAGAACTTGACCATTTTGTACCTGAAATGAACTTGAATTAAAAAAGGGGTTTATTGAGACATTGCCAATTACCAAGTGTTAAACCTGTGAAAAAAAATGCAACCAAAACAAAAGGAAGAGCAAAGAGGGATATTTTATGAAGACAGGAAATCCCAACATTTAACAATGCCACCAATAGCTAAGCATTGCTAAGACAACTAGCAATATTTGCTCAAAATGTGAATTTGTAAATCACTGGGAATACAGGCAGACCAAAAGCATTACTGTCTTTCTCCAGACTCTTTAATAATTTGTTTTGGGGACTAATACATGGTCTGCAGTTTTGAAGATGGCATGAGCCTGCTTCTAAAGATACCATGAGAGCCTTGCAAAAAAAGACTGAACTACAGCACACATCAAGCACTCATTTACATCTTAATGTCTATAGCTCTTTACCTTCCAGGGACCTCGGTTTGACATAAAAAATTAAATTTAAGAATTCATATGGTGCATAAATAACTACTATTTGCAGTCTGTTAGTCAAGTTACAATGCAGCTGTTCATGGTTTTATACAAAGCACCACATGCTTTCAGAAACCAATCCAAGACAGAGTTCCAAATAAGCCTGAAGAAAAAACTTCACAAAACCATAAAGACTGGGCACTTTGTATAAGCAGTTGGGCAAGAGACTTTCTTGAATCTGAAGTTTTGTTTTAATTTGTGTATTGCCTGTTTACAAAAGATTATGATAAATTGATGCATGTCTCCCACTATAATATCCATATTTCTTAGCAAGAGTTTTACTAATGCTTCTATCAATGCAAGATTTAAGGTTAATGTAATTTTCTAACTTTCTTTCATCAGTATTTAATAATTACAGATTAAAATAACTAGGGAATGAGCGATTTTACCTTATACAATACAATCCCAAAAGAAATTACATTTTAGTACCTAAAATAATTCCCCTCACACTTGCAGAACTTGGGCAATATAATAGTGCTTACTGACTCTGAAGTCAGAAGGTCTGATATAGCTGGATACTATTTGAGTTCAAGATGAAGGACCTTGTTTCTATAACAGATTTGCAGGAAGCACATCAGTTTCTTAACTTAGAGTCACACAGGGAGAGGTGAAAATTATTTTATTGGTAAAAAAAGAATGCAGAGAAATATGAAAGAAATGTTCAATGTAAAAAAAGCCAGCCCAGTTCAGTATTTGTTAAACAAACACTGATCTCCTATCTCACTGTGAACAGAACACAGTTGCTACTGAAATGTCAACTTAAAACAAATATGCTAGATTAATCACTGACCCTGATAATTTACTATTCTATTCCAGCATCTTAGTTTTATGGGTGTCAGCCAAAACCTGTCACATTTTTGCATTACTTGTATAATAAGGTATTGCTTCATTTATGAATCTCATCACTTAGATTTTCCATGTTCTACTTTGATGCAGTGCTTTTAAATGATAAATATTTAAGAACAGTTTTACAGAGAACAACTTCAAAGTATATGTAATATAGGAATTAATTTTAGAGTACAGTATAACGAAGCAATTTATTTTTAAGGGAAATTTATAAGGAAAAATAGTTCAATAATGAACTTAAAAGGGATGTACAGAAATGTGGTCTGTTAGCAGACTTATCACAAGAAGCTGTATTTGGAAACCCTAACTGACATCCTTGGCTATATTCACAAAAGCACTTAGTAGTAGTTTGCTGTGACATTAGAAAGAATAACATCCAGTTTAAGACTGAGATAATCTTGCTGAAGACTAGACTTTTTCATCCTCTTGATGAGGACTAGATTTTTTTCATCACTTCTGACTTCTTTGCTTTCCCAGTATCTACAAATATATTCCATATGTAATGATTCTCACATTTCAGGCACACAGGTGTATTTAAGCAACTGTTTATAGCTAAAAATTATATAATCAGTAATTCTGAAAGAAGCCTCGATACAGAAGGACCATAAATTATTGCATTTAGTAACCACAAGCAACCTACAGCATTTCCCAACTGGATAACTTTTACAAACCTTTTATTAATCCAGCTGATTTTAATCTCTAATTATTTTAAAATGTGAATCTTATAATTAAAAAAACCCAAAACAACACTGTTCAATCTTTGGTCAAATAAAATATAGTCCACAAGTAATCTGAGACACATCAAGTCTGTGGGACTATACCAAGTGACAAAACAATTTAGATAGGTACTTAAAGCTGAAGACTTCCCAGTTACAGGAGTAACATACACTAATCCATGTAATTCTAATACAGACACAGCCTTGCAATTAACAGCATCATTTTGTGTATATTCTGGAAAAAAACCCAAACACACCCAAACAAACTTCAAAAAAATCCTCACAGAAGCTATGGAAAAGGAATCAGTTATTTGTGATGAGACATCGTTAATGACAGGCTACACAGTTCAATGAAGCCTACAAAGACAATGCTTCAAAAGCAGCAGCATGACCTTCAGGCAACCTAACCTCCGTAGCAAACATCCAAGTGAAAAGTTGAAATAAGAAACACTTTTTGAATGTTAATGTCCTAAGATGGAGACATTGCATACTGTTTCTGGGAGAAGTTAAAATCAAGGAGAAAATTTAAGTAAAAGTATTCTGAGATTATTACTAGTGTGAAGACAAATATCAGCTGGAAGAATATATTCTGCTGCTTTTTAAAATTTTTAAATGTGCTCTTAAAATATATCCCACCTTCTGACACATTCTAATACTCTAGCAGTAAATTTGGTCAAGAAAAACTTAGACTGAGTAACTGGAGAAATCAGTGATGAAAAGGCAAAAGAGAAATTAAAGTGCACTGCTCAGTCCTTTTCTAATTCTTATTGTAAAAAAAAAAAAAGGGGTAGCCAAACCAGAGATCTACTTAAAAATTTATTCAGCTGTGTTAAAGCCACTTACTTTTAAGAAGTAAGTTATATGGTTAATGGACTGTAAATATTTGAGAAGGTTTAGATAACCAAGGATTGAAAGGGAAAAAAAAACTATTCAAAATTTTCAAGTTTTTCCTTTTGCACCGTTCCTAGTCTTTGGAACACATTTCATGGTGTGAGGGCCGTTCCCTTTAAGGACCTTCAGATGAAGATAATGGAGGACATATTGCAGGCTGGGGTCAGACTAACAGATTGAGCTTTTCCTTCAAACCTATAGCTCAAGGGAGCACTTAACTGTCACAAATTCACAACCATAAAGCAGCTGAGCCAATGGGCAACAACAGTTGGGAAAGTTTTTCTGTTTGCTAAATTTGAAGGGTCATGGAGATAGTAGGGACTCCTGTGCTAACAAAGTTAATCTCCTCACGCCCCGAAGAAGGACGGGTTTTTTTAAACAATTCTTATTTTGACATTTTAAACAGTGGAAAAGAGAAAATAGCTTTGCTCTGGTTTTGCAGTTACTCAACTGAACTATGTGTGGGTACTCGTGGCAGGCTGCTGCATACCTTATGTAAATTGTAACCTGTTTTAAACCCTTTTTTTTTTTTCACTTGTTTGTCAGCCAACCTTTAAACAGGCAGGTATTAACACTGCCCATGGTAGATGGAGACATACTGTTTGTGCCATTTTTAATTCTAAAACTAGATTAGTCTTTATCTCCAACTATGTCCAAAGTACAGTATGAGGGTTTTCATTACATGAAAAAAAAACAAAATGACCAAAGTACTGCTATCACCTAAGCTCTTCCCCAATTTATAAGAAATTTCCAGTTTGAAATTTCTCACCGATTCTTTTCCTGCTGCTGCTTCCCACCACACAATGATGGTACTGATTTTCCTTTTACACAACTGTACTCCATTCCCTTTAGTTGGCTGTCATTATCCACTGATAAAACAATTATATGGCAGGATCTGGGAAAATAAAGTAATTCCACAAGTGTACAATATAAATTCATCTATCAATTATTGGAGACCAGTTCCATGAGTCTCAGCCCAATGTCACTTTACTGATATATATAATAAATTTATGACTACTTGTAATAGTACTTAAAAGTACATTTTGTCACTCAGCTGTGACAGTATTTCATTTTTGAAAGAAAAGAAGTGGCTTTACTTACCTTGGACTTGAGGGAACCTTCCCAGTTTTCATCCACATACCTCTAGGACAGCTCCTGCATAAAGCTGTAATAATAAACAGAAGCTGTTAATGACAAAATTAATCTAACTTACTATTTATATATGGTGTGTTATCTGTTGAACTATTTCTCTTTGAGGAGACAATATGCTATTGCATTGATGCCTATTACAAATAAGATACTAGACAGAATCATAATTGCAGACCTGTCTCTGATTTATGCAACAACTGACTGTCCACTCAAGATCCATGATAATTTTCATTCATTACACTAAAAATTTAAAAATGGGAAAAAAAGAGATAATTTGAGATACACTCTTGCTGTGCAAGGCTTCATTAAAAAAAAAAAAATTGCAATCGGACATGTTACAATAGGAATTATAGGCTAGGAATTGGAAAACTGTTTCTTCTTTCCCTAAGATATTAGCAAAGTCTCAGAAATGCATCTTCATTTCAGAATAAGAATATTCTGAATTCAGGTCCAACTCAATATTTGCCTAAATACTATGAATTAAACACAAGAAATACTCTAATCACTTGGAGGGAAATTACAACTTCTCCCTTGGTGTGAACTAATCAATGATCATTACTTAAATGGGAAACTGAACATAAAATGTTACACTGCATTATCTGTTCAGAACAGCAGCTCAGAAATTTGTTCAACTACAGATACATTTTCAACTAAACATTCGATTTAAGATAAAATCCTAAGATCTGACTGTTAAAACCCAGAAGTACTATGAAATAATACTCAAGAGATCAAAAATACCAGATTTTTTAAAAAGCTTTTTCACCACTCAAATAAAGGTTTTAATTAAAAAAGGCAGTGATAAACAGCTCTGATACCAGCTTGCATAATTAAAGTTCCTCTGCAATTAAAACACAACGCACTTGCAAACACGGAGGAAATAGGATAGCGATAAGCTTCACTTACCTTGTCTCTATTTGTTATTCTTTAAAAAACATTCAACAATTCTATCAGCCATCCAAGACTTAGATATTAGATTGCACCCTCACTAATCCACTGAACATTTATACTGGTTCTCTAATACTGACAATCTGCATTTTCTATCAAGAAGTCAGCATAAAGAAGTGGACAAAGGAATAAACAGCCTTCTATCTAGTTAATTAACTATTTTATGCAAGTGTTTAACTAAGTATACTCAGACTTAGGACAATGGTCAAATGAGCATTTTTGAATTCTCATTATTACAAAGAATTCTTACAGTTATTTTCTTCCTTTCAAACAAGAATTTTTATGGAACAAAATCACTGTAAGAATCCAAAATATGAAAGACACTTTGTAATTACTCACTACTCACACTTTGTAACTCCTGGCCAATATCTGATAGAAGTTTAACAAAGAAAACAGCTCAATTACTGATGTCCAAATTTTGAGCTTGTAACTCTGCCGTAATTGAAACCCAACTGTGCTGGTACAAAAAATTTTAGATTCATGCTGGGACAAACAGCTGCTCTCTCGATGGCTAGACCACGATAAAAGAAGAATCAGTTGGCTTCATTTATAACTCTAAACAAAGGTGTCTTTTCCAAGAAGCACAGGTTTATTTGCATCACTTAGCCCACCACAAAAGCACACTTGTTAATAATATCTACTGCTGCTACCATCTCATTGTGTCCAGAGCAGATGTTCTCCAAACTTCCTTGTGAAGGCAGTCACTGTGTTCGAGTGTTACTAAGAATGACATGTATCACTCAGCATGGAGGCATATAAACATCTCGAGTCAGTTCATTACACAATGCTTAACTCATGAGTTAGTTCATTTTAAAGTAATGCTTCACTTGTTTTAGTGCCCATAAAAGTGAGTTTAGTACTACAAGGAATGAAATAAAGACCCTCTAAACTATTACTGGTGTCCATGCTAACATTCAAAGCAAATGCTGTTACGATTTCCAGGCCAATTCATGTCTGTATCTATAAAAAGAACTTAGCTTTCTTTACAACACTCTAATAGCATGCTTTCTAAGTCTTTCTGTTGTGAAATATCTGAACTCTTCCCTCATCTTTTCCAAAGCATCAACTTGAGTTCAATTTCATTCAAAAGCTTTGGTAAAGCACCTGAATCTCTTGCTACAGTTCATTCTGCTGTAATCAAGATGGCTCTGCACAACTGAGAAGAGGAAAACCACACTATTGGTCATATTTGCTTTAATGATGAAGGAAAGTGGCAATTACAGCACAGAATAGCACTGTTTACATAAGAATTGTGCTAAATAAAAATAGGAATTGTAAAAATTATTGTTCCAGTAAGTAAAACCAAGGCGAAAGGAAACATTTCACCTACTCTTAGGAAGGGAACTGAAGCAATTTCTGCAAGACAATTCCAATGGTGCCTCACTTATGCACAGATATGGTATTGTTATCACAGTTTCTCATGGCGAACACTGCAGAAGGAAAATTGCATTCCTACTACATAACCATTACTGTTTACAGGAACTCAGATCAAACTGAACTGCAAAAAGTGGTACTTAACACAGATTGCTCCTTGGTCATAATAAAATTACGCTAGATCAAAGGTGAAAAAAAGTTGCGTAAAATACAAAAAGTTATACCTAATTATACTTTTGTAACACCTATGTCTTGCAGACCGATTTTTTCTAACTAATGACTAGGCCTGACCTCGCCTAACACAGGTTACAAAGTGTCACTCAAACTGGATTTGTACAGCTGTTTGCAATCAACTGAAAAAACCACATAGTATCAGCATGTCTGAAGAAATTAAATGAAAGGGGCTATTAAGACAAGGCCACACAGTGGTCAATAACTGCCTTATGGTACCTGGATTCTCCCCGGTAACCCTGTATTGTTCTCTCCTAACATCACACTACTTAAAAAGTACAGTTAACCCCTGACAATAGGCTAATAAGTAAAGCACAACTTATGACTACAGCTAAAACTCTATAATCTTTGCTTGCCTCAGGTACAAAACAATCTTCCACTAAATAGGGACCAACAATGAATCTCTTTCCAACACAAACAATTTTTTTATGAAATTCACTGTAATTCTGATTCCATATTATATTATCAGATCCGATGAACAGACCTCCTTATCTCCTATCAACTCAAACTACTGTTTTACTTCAAAAAATGTCAAAAAAAATTTGATATTATTATTCTTAATGGCCCAAGTTGCTTGGTATGTAAAAACTGGTACTGTTGAAAAATACAGTGAATGATCTCATTTTTTGAAAGGCATGCAAATTAATGTTACTGTGTTCCGTCCACCTACCCAGAAAGCAAACCAACATGTTGATCAATATTTGTTCTTCTGAGAAATTTAGTTACAACGAAAAGATATTTTGTTTCTTCTGCATTTTCCTAAACTTCTCTAACTACCAGTCCATTTATGACTTTTAGTAGAAAACTAAATTACTTTAAAAGAATATACACTGAGATATAAACTATAAAATATTTTCTCTTCTATGGGAGACAATGCACAGTATTTATAGGGACAGTTCAAAGTTTTCAAAATCACTCTAGTCTTTCTTTTTGCTGGAGGCAGAACATGAGTAAGAATCTCTTAACAGAGAACAGTCAGAAAGCCTCACTGCCAGGAACATTATGAATTACTGCTCTGTGATACAGAAAGCCAGTAAAGTTATTGCTACACACACATCATTCCAAACTGATGTCATCAGTAAATTTAGCAACAAAGCAACTTCTCCCATTGACAACTCATTATCCTGTGAAGGGAGATGCCTAACTCCAAAAAAGAGTTTGGAAACAGAGTCTAACAGTCAAAAACCAGTTATGTGAATCAGTGTTATTCCTGTGATCAGTGCTATGTATTATTGGCAAGTTCCTCAGAACAAAGCTGAAGCAGAATCTAAGCTCTCATTTATTTGCAGAGAAGGAAATTCCAACTGAATATGGGGGGCAGGGAAGTCACAATGAGGGTGTTTAAGCACTGAAACAATTTACTAAGAAAGGCTGTAGAATCTGCATTCTTGGAGATCCACAGAACTTTGAGTTCTGCTTTGAGCAGGAGAATCAACTTTTTTATTCTGTATGTACAAAACAGTTGTGCATTACTGTTACATTCTCCAGCATACAGGAAATGTCTCATCCATTTAAGTGTTTTATTTTTGGTGTTAAACAATATCCTCCTTGCAGGATTATTTAAACGTTTTTGCTGTTTAAATCCAATAACCACCAAAAAATTCCAAAACAACTTCCACTTCTGGCAGACTATCTTTGTTAACTTTGCTCTATGAAATGGTTTGGTTTAAGGTCACGTGAGCAAGAGATCTGGCACAAGGGTGAAAAAAATGCAGAAGCTGAGCAACCATCAACTTTAGACGTGTGGAACTGTAGCCCAGACTCAGTGGTGTGAATGCCCAATTTGAGTGGGGGTGGAAGGCAGAGTGAAATAGGAAAGAATGGCAGAAAAAGAGCTCCTGTACAGGCTCTCACTTGGACCTAATGTGCAGAATTATGCAAGCAAAAAAGTAGAGATAGAAAGTTAATAGTTCAAGTTTCCATTTTGGAATACACCATCTGATTCTATCTAAGCATCTACTTACCTCTAGAAGTATAATCCCTGAACATCTCTTTTATTCTACAGAATATATACTTTTACTAAAAACAAAGGCGAGTTGAAAAGAGGACAGATCTCATGAGCTTTTTATTTGACCTCACACATTTCATTAATTTTGAGACCTTTAATTTTTGAAGTTTTTTCAACAAATTTATAGTCAAATGCCAGTACTTTATCTAGATGGCCAGCCTTAATTAGCTAAATCTATTCCATTCCCCAGCATAGATGCACATCAACAACTTAAATTCACGTTTATAGTTTCCCCAACCTTTTCTTTTTCACTGATAAGACTCGATAGAGGTCTCCCATAGGTAAGGCTTGCCCTGTTACAGACAGATAATGTATTTTATCTCAGTTTATCTGACAGAGATGAACTTTCGGTGAATTTGAGCCAAACAAAAGATGGTAAATTTCTGTCTTAGGCACTGACTAGCTATCTGCACCTTCCTTATCTAGGACTACTGTTTGTCAACATTTATTTTCATTGCTGATAACATCATGTACAGACAGAAGGGAAAGACTGTACATGGTAAAGTTCTTGAGAAGGACATCCACTGCAGCACATTTTTAGTACAAGGAATGGTTGTGCATAATATTCTGAAGCAGCAGTAATCTGGTAGGAGACTTTCTCAATTAGAGGGAATGCAGTCAGCTCAATTCCCCTAACTTCCCTATCAGTACTTCCCATCAAATTGTTCCTCTATGAACTGTATGGGACACTGTTTAGTTAAAAGCAAACTTTGAAGGGAGATCATATGACATATTAGACTTAATTAAAGAGTTCTGATTATTTGAGTGTTAAATAAAATACACTGTCATTGAATTACACTATTTTTGAAGCCACACTTGATAAAAAACAATGAATGTGAACCATTTTTATGTACCCTGTTATAAATAAGGAGTACAGTTATGTAAAAGCACAATTTGTTTTTTTACAAAGCAGTCAAAAGACTTTACAGAACACATCAAAAGACAGACAAGATGTGGGTTTTGAGAAACAGCTAGAAGTAAACTACAAGTCTAATTTATTTCCACAAGCATTGATATGACTTACAGTTACGTTACCCCACTGAGATGTCAATGCATTCTAAGGAGTTCTCTGTTTTTAACCATCGAGTTGAAAACTAAGAGATGAGATTGCTTCACTGGAACTATTCATATTAAGAGCCTCTGGCAGAACAAGCAGGCAGCCAACAGTAATTTGAGTGTAGCACTTTAATTAGTGAAATGAAAAGAAAAAAAAAACCCTGAAAAATGAACGTAAATTGGGTTACACAGGACTAGCCTGAAGCACTAAAAGCACTTCAAGTTATTCTACTTCTAGTAATTACTGTGAGTTTTGTAAACTATTTTGAGTTTTAAAAAGTGAGTCTCAACAAGAATGTCACCTCATTCCTGCTTGTAATTCATAACAGCACATTTAAGAAGCCTGTACATGTAAAAGGGTAGAATTTTAAGAAAGCTTTCCATTTGATTTTTCTTAAATAAAAGTAGCACATAGTCATAATGACAATGGTCATGTTTTTTAGGTTACTACTAATATTACAGCAAATATTTCTTTCATTTCATAGAGGGATCCAACACTAACTCTATGCAAAGAACAGGTTTTAAATTACACCTGACATACATCATAAGGATAATATAAGTAATATTCATTATAATGAAAAAGGGGTTCAGAGTTCAGGCTACACCTTCAACAGACCAGAAGTTCTGTGTTTTTGCAGCACTGAAACAAACCAAATCATTCATGCCTTAAAATGACGCTCCACAATTTCAAGTACCAAGGACTTTCAAGGAAAAGAATGGCTTGATGCAGTGAAAATATGATACCATCTTCCTGCAGCTCCAAGTACCTGATTAAGTACAGCACTGGTTACAATGTGGCACTGGGGAACGGGTGTGCAAATATGCCTAAACCACACCTGATCAATGCAACTGCCGTGCAGACACCTCTACCCAGATGGCAAGCAGAAATCAACACCAAAAACCTAGGAAAGGTTCCACTGTTGAGCTTTGACTTTTCCCTCCATTTTCCAGTGTTTTAATAAGCATTCTCAGGATTTTCTCCCCAGGTGGTTCTCCCTTTTCATAATTTTTCAAGATGTTGAAAAAACACAGTATTTAAAGTCTCTAAATACCATTATTTTCTAAGTCTCATCCACTCTGTTTGTCTGCAGGGTAATGTCTATACCTTGCATTAAGGTTGAAAGGAAACTTTTTTATTTAATGGTGTGGGAAGAATATCAAGGTGCAAACTTCCCCTCTTAGAGCACAACAATCCATTTCAAGTTTCTGAAATATTTTAGTTAACTTATATTGTTACACCTATGACAAATTTGGTGAAAAATAATCCTAAACTTGTCATTACCTCAGCAGTGCAGAGGCTAGATATTTCACTAAATGATTAAACCATACTTTGACAGTTTAGCATATTTTGATAACCCTGAATACATGCAAGAAAGTTGCTAAAAATCTCAGGATTTTATACTTTTTGCTTAAATTTGGAATTGGAATGTGGAATGGAGCAGTTATTACCCATCTCCATGGAACTTCTGAATTATGCATATAGATTTCTGTATCACTGATTGCCTTGTTTCACAGCAGAATCATAAACTATTTCGAAATAGCGTACGACAGACACGCGTGAAGTTACCCATGACAACTTGCCATCTGAACCATCCATGTTCATGACTCAACTTTTGCTTACACCTGAGGCTGTGCTTTCTAAGTCACCAAACACCACAACGTGACAAATACTTGACAGTAGAAATTTAAAATGCTGAAGTTCAACACACCTCCGTGAGCAAAAACTTATTTCAAAGCTGCATTTAGACATACTGATAATTTCTGTGGGTTGTAGCAATCCCAGTGCAACTGGGAAATTTAACATATTGCAAAGTTTATCACTGAGCTGATTTTTAAAATCAATTTGGATTTTGACACGCATATATTGTTGAGATAAGTCTAAGATTATAACACACAATTAATGGAACATGCTTATAGCTATGTCTGAAATGATCACACAGACTAAGTGAAGCTGCAGATGGAGTGCAGCTATTTTCAGCTACTGCAAAATATGGACAATCTCTCCTGCTACTACAATTTCATGCACAGTTAGCTTCACCTCCATTTCATCCTTCTACATTTTACACACCAGCAGTATTCTGCATCTGACAGACTGAGGCTTAAAACTTGCAGCTGTCTAAAGCAATACTGTTTAAGCTAGCTTCTGAATTAGTGTGAAACTGCATACAAAATCTCTGGAGGAGGAGAAAATAACCAAAACATGTTTTTCATTTTACCCACAGTCCAATTCTGAAGTAATTAAAATATTTCACTGGACAGGTGTCAGCAGAAGTTTAAAGCAAGACAAATTGTGGGTAACAAGAGTACCTCACAGCTATTTTCCACAATGTCAATTCACAAACTACTGGACCAATAATAAACCCAGGATTAATAAACATCTTTCAAGACTACGAAACAGTTCAAATCCGTAAACATCTCATTTGAGGTTGCAGTGATACCACGCAGCACAAAGTATTTTTAGCCCTGAGGATATTTCACAGATCATTTGTGAAAAGTAGCAATTACATAAAAATTCTCAGATAGATGTGCTATCCCCTTAAACTTTAAATTCTCATTTAGAACTCAGGCACAAGTCATGCAATAAATTAACTCCTGCTTTCCTTGTTGCTGATATTTGCCACACACTTGCAAAGAGAATTAAATTCAAATCCTGAGGCCTGCCCTGGAATTCTTTAGTTTGCAAATCTGGTTGTAGCACAGAGTATGAACATGCTGTCCCACACCATGGAGCAAATACCTGCTCATATAACCAACAAGCTACGTCATGTACAGGAATCCTGGCTCAGAAAAAAAAGACTCCTGTACTCTGAGGATGTGCAAGCACCTGGTCACAGCATCAGCAAAACCCAGAGCACCACTGCTCTGGAACTCAGCAACACACGAGGCTGCAAATCAGCAAGTCAAACATCTTACGTCGAGATGCAGGTTTTCAGAGTAAGATTAAAAGTTCTACAAGCAAGAGGGTATGAAAAAAACCCTTTTAAGACTTTTGACATCCATTTACTCTTCACTATCAAATTTTCATTAATAGACGATTTCTATGGTAACCTGAAAAAAAATGGAATGGGAAAAACTACAGCTAAAGGCAGCATTCAGTTTTTCTACTCTGCATGCATATCATATAAATTCTTGTTTAGCAAGAAGCTACAATAAATTGTTAATTTTTATGTAACAGTAAAATCTTAAGCTCAATTACAGAAAACCGTTACAAACAGCAATATGTTCAAACACAAGTAAATCCAAACCATGATGATTCTGAGTACAATATGTTAAGATAGTATTAACAGTCATTTCTCCCTACACTAATTTTCCACTGGCTAGACTTGAAGTTACTGAGTAAAAGCTTTAAAAAAAAAATTAAAACCACAAAACAATCACCAAATCTGAAAAACACATTTCTAAGAAGTGGTAACAGAATAAAAAATTTCCATTTTCTTAAACAGCATTCATAAGAATATTATACATGATGCTACAGTCTTAAATTACCACATATGAGAAAACATGTATTCTTTCCAAGAACTCTAAAAATATTCTTCCTTGATGATGTACCTTAAGAAACAGAGATAATTATTTACTACAGATAAAGGAAAGGCTTTGCCTTAATTTAACTGACTGAAGCACAGCATGGGCTCTGAGCAAGATCATTCCCAAAATATCCAGCTGTACCCACTGCTGCAGAATGGAGTTGAGCAGTCCTGCTTCTGTCAGGTTTGTGCCACTTCAGGAGCTGACCTGGCAGCTGCACCAGCCTTTTGTTCCTTGGGACTGAGCTAAGCCGTCCTGGCCATTACATTACGGGTCAATGACCAAGCAAGGGCTGTAACACCAGATCAGTAACACCAGTCTCCTTATCCTCTTCTTTTGCCCTCTTCAAATCCCCTTCAAGAAAGCTGGACATAGTTCCTCAGTTTGGATACTTCACACCAGAGAAGAGCTGCCAAAGAACCAAAGATTCCACTGTTCGTACAGGGACGTTATTTTAGAGCACTATGGCCAGTCTGCAAATCTGCATCCTATATATATATATATTGGGCTACGAATAAATGTTGTGTGTTCCTCTTGAAAGTATAATGCAGATTCTCATATATTTTTAAAATGCAAAGTTTCATAAACATAACATGTTGAATTATTCCACAAAGGATTTGGTCCAAAACTCACCTTTCTAGTTTCCAGCTGAGCTTCTTCTTGGCAGCACTCCCTGCAGAATGGATCCAACTGATTCAGATTGAACTGTCCAAGAAGATTGCAAGAACTGCACAGCAAGTTACTGGAGAAGCCCAGCTCTCTGCAAGCTTCTGAAGACAACTGTGCTCCATATGCACTTACCTGAAAATCAGCACAATGATGTTTTTTAGTATTAATTTTTTTTTTAAGATGACTTTAAATGCTTTAATGATCAGAAAGAACAACTAAGTCTCTTGTGACTGTTTTACAGTAATGCCTAATGGTCAGCCCGCAGGTTCAAAACACCACCTTCTTTTAAAGAATGGTCTTAAACTAAGAGTCAATTCCAGACACTCACAGTATGTACATTTTGAGGTATCAGACCTGCCAAAATTAATTTATATACACTTCTGATAACTCTACTATTTTCCTATTGACAATTTAAGGAAAAAAAAACAAACATAAAGAATCAGCTGAAATGCACATGGCTACAGCTTTCCAAAGCCTGCTCTTTCAAAACAATCACAGTAAATTTCATGTCACTCAAAACCCACTTCTAAAGTAAGTAGAACAGCTAAGCTTGGGAAAAACACAACCAGGGAGTGATGACACAGACCAAACTGCTCAACAAGGCACAAAGATAGGATTTTATCTTCATGTTTGCAATAATATTAAAGGAAAATCACATATGAAAAATGGAAGTGTAGGTAAAAACCTGCAATTCTGACTTTTTAGTAATACATTCAAATAGGCAATTCAATTCCATGGCTTCCATGGAAAACACCAGTTCTGCTTTTCATGGGCAGCAAAAACAATGTAATCAACTATCATAGCACTTAAACGACATTTGGTGTTTGTTTTCATAGAATCGTTAAGGTTGGGAAAGACCTCGAAGATCATCATTGAGTCCAACCATTAATTCAGCACCACTGTGTCCACCACTAAACTATACCCCAAGTGCCACATCCACACACCTTTTCAACACCTTCAGGAACGATGATTCTACCATTTCCCTGGACAGCCCATTCCAATGCCTGACCACTCTTTCAGTGAACACATTATTCCTAATATGTAATCTAAACCTCCTCTGGTGCAACTTGATGAGAAACCCTGGCAAAGTTACATTTAAATTTTTGTCACTTATTCAATTAATGATGGTAGTACCTAAAGCAGTTTTCTTGCACCTTGCTGTTTGCCATTCACCCCTTTCATGCTTTACTGTCCTCTTTTCCTCACTTTTGGATCTGTTCACCTCGAAGCAAAACTGGTGTTCCTGGCATTGACACTTTGCTTCCACCAGCCACACTCCTCACTTCTTTCCCCAGCAAGCCCCCAAAGCATCTGCGAAGATAAGGCCAATATTCTGTGTTTTGTGTTTTTTGGGGAGGTGCAGTGGGAACCAACCAAAAAATAAACCAAGTATGAGAATAAGTAAAGACTCCATTACAAGCGAATCCCTCAGTGAAGAAGTTTTGGTTACACAAGCTCAAAACAGCTTGAGAACAAAACCATAGGGAGGGGAACAAGAAAAGAAATAATCAGAAAGGAGAAATTCTCTCTCCTCATTAATTTTCCTCAATTTTTAGGACCTTAACTATTATATTTTTCTTAAATAGTAAGTGTACTAATCATAATAAGGAACCCCTCACACCTCAGAAGCTGAATTCTCAACAGGACAAGATAACAATTCTTAATCAGTGACACGTCTCATTTCAGCAGCATTTTCTCCTTCAAAGCTTTGACTACAAATACACGTTGCACTGTTGCTTTGCTTTTTCACCAGGTAATTTAATATGTTAAAGCGAAAGTAGCACTGATACAAACTGTGAAGCAGAAACCAGCCTCCGACAAGGAGAGCAGAAGAAAGGGTGGCGAAGGCAGGAGAGGGACGGGATGTGCAGGGAACAGCCGCCGGGATAGCACCGGGACACGTCTCACTCCGCCCCCACCCCACCCTCGCACCCGCCCTCTTTCAGGAAACGCAGCCGCGCTCGGCCCGCGCACACGCCCGCCCCAGCTCTCACCGCCTGTAGCCCCAGGAACCAGACGGTCCACAGGGACCAGCAGGGCCAGCGCCGGGCCCACGGCTCGGCCTCCGCCGCCATCGCTGTGCTGGAGCCCTCACAGCTCCCGGGCTGCGCGGAGACCCCGCCCAGCGCGGCTGCCCCGCACACTGCCTGATGTGGGAGAGCACAGACTGGCTCCCAACCCCCGGCACCGCCGGCAGGAACAGCTAACACAGAACATCACTTGGAATTCTACAGAAAAGATACGTTCGGAGCAGGGGTTCACAGCGAGTTTAGAGGAGCTGCCGTTCCTCAGCCCTGGTCGGGCACTGCGGACTCAGCCCGAAGCAAGACCCTTTCCCCTTTCTGGGAAGTCGCTGCCATCCTGGCACTTCGGCCGCCGGCCCGGTGATTGACAGCCAATCTGACCAATACCATTCTGCTTTCTCCAAGCGCCGTGGTACCTTTGCTCAATGAGCGTGGGCAGGTGGGCGGGATTTCAAGGCGTACCCTCCAATCAGAAAGGGACGCATGTAGGCGGGACATCGCCCCGCTCCGGCAGCTCCGCGCCAGGGAGGCGGGGTCAAGACTCGGGGGCCGGAGCATCGCCTGCGCGGGGCCAATCGAGTTGCGGGAGAGGCGGGGCGATGGCAGCGCCAGCCAATGGAGGCGGGGGGCGGGGCCCGGCGGCTGTGGCGGCGCGGGGCGGGGGGCGGGCGCGCGGCCGGGCGTTCGGTTGCCGAGCAGCGCGCGCAGGGCGGGCGGGCGGCGGGGCCGGGCAGGGCGGGGCAGCGCGCGGGGGTGCTCTGAGGGCGCTCTGAGGGCGGGCTGAGCGCGGCGATGTGAGAGCGGCGGCGCCGGGCCCTGTCCGCGCCCCCGACCGCGCCCCCGACCGCGCTCCCTCCGTCCCTCCTCGCCCGCGCCGTCCCTGCGGCTCCCGCCGGCCCCCGCGGGCCGGGTCCCGCGTTATGTCGTGATCCCGGACGGGCGGCGCTGCTGCTGCTGCTCATGGGGCTGCTCAGGATTATGCTGCCGCCCAAGTTGCAGCTGCTGGCGGTGCTGGTGTTCGGGGTGGCCGTGCTGTTCCTGGAGAACCAGATCCAGAAGCTGGAGGAGTCCCGCGGCAAGCTGGGTGAGCGGCGGGCGCGGCCAGGCGAGGCGCGGGGGGAGCCGGGCCGGGCCCGGGGAGCCCCGGCGGGTCCGTGTGTGCCGAGCCCCGCGGGCGGCCCCGCGCTCCGCACGGCGGGCTGGGTCTGCAGCAGCCTTGGCCTGAGCTCATGTGCGTGTGCTCTGCGAGGTCAGCACACCTGGCACGGGTCGGTGCCGGAAAGGTAAATATTTCTGTGGCTGTGCCGATGGGGTTTGTTAGAAGAGCAGCGGTTCGGAGCCCTTGGGAGCAGCGCCCGGCCTGTGAGTGCCTCCTGACAGGCACCGGGAAGGGAGAGGAGAAGCCGCCGTGGTGCCGAAACAATCTAGTTCTGCTGCTGCAGAGAATTACCGTCTTCCTCACATCTAATTTCTATTTCAGATGTTTTACTGACGCTTGACATTGTAATGGAAAGCACAGGGTAAAAAAAAAGAAAGCTAAAGACATTGCTCTTAATGACAAATGGGTAATTTGTTTTACTCTCATTGAATGTTGGATGCTGTTTTCTGCATTTACTGAGTGTAGTTAGTGATCTAGACTGAGCTGTAGTTAAACAGAATTGTGATTAACTTGACACCTCCTGTGTAAGATTACTTTTACTTTTCCTGCCTTAAAGAGATCTTTTTAGACTAATATCTGCCTGGCAGATAACATCTTATGACTTTGTTGTACACAAGGCTGCAGAACTTGTATATATTTTACAGTACTTATCAAGAATCTCAAGGATGTGAAAAAACACCATTCTGAACCTAGTTTGTGGTGCCTAGGAGTTGTAAAAACAGAGCACTGAGACTTCTGGTGTATACAAGAGCAGGGGCTGGTTTGCAGATATGGTTGATTTGGTTTCTCGTATTATTTGACTGTACTAAGATATTTAGACTATGAACACTTTAAGATTGTAGTAAGAAAAGTGCACATCATGTTCCTTTTGGTGTTAAAACTAGAAATGGACTTTGAGTGACATGGAAAGTTTAACAATGAGCTTTTAACAGAGCCAGAGTCAGCATAACTCAGTGTTGAGCTGTATGAATGCCACTGGGATTTTAACTTCACAGCATTTCTTTTCCACTTTGCTCTCTCTGATCTGGATGTTAGAGATTGGGACCCTGGAAATTGCAATGGTTGACTGCCTGAGTTGAGGGATGCCCTTATTCTGCATATTTTTCAACTGAAAGATTGTACCATTTATAATCAAGGCGTAATTTTTGCAGGGTCTTAATAACTGTAAACAAACGTTTGAAGAAGAAAATGAATGAAATTGGAAGATAATTCAAGCAGGTGTTAACATAGTGCTTAAGGTTCAGTGGAATTCTGTATACATCTGCTTTCAGGTGTTTGATACCCATGGCTTCAGTGCCTCTGTTGCTGACAGTGTGTGTTACTTGATGGAAATCTACCTCCTGGCATGAAAAGAATAACATAATGCCTGTGAGAATAAAGGATTTTGCTGTTAAAACTTCCACTTCCTCCTTAATATATATGCAGTGGGCATGTTTAAGCTGCATATTTAGAGGATTAAAATACTCCTACAGCTCATACTGCTTTGGGACAAGAATCTAATTACTATTTTTTGCTGATTTTATTTCCTAAGGACAAGGGAAAACTATTATATGGTTTATTAAAAATAAAATGGAAAGATTTGTTTTGTGAGAAGCTTCCTAGTGATTCTCTCAAACCTGTGGAAGGAGGGGAAAATGGGCTTTCTGCAACACCTTTGAACTCGGGTTCTTTTTTTTTTAGTGTGAGAGTATGCTTTGCTTAAAAGCTTCTAACTGTCTGAATGTCTCCCATTTTACATGTTTGGCATGTACTTTATGAGTAGTAAATGTTAAAGTTTCATTACAGCTGTTTTTTTTACCATCACAATTGGTAGTATTTCTACTGAGCTGGAATATGGGGAATGGTTTTCTCCAAATCAAAGTAATTAGTTGGCCTAATGCACTTGAATTCCGATCTTTCTCCCTGCCCCCTGAAAGGCTGAAGGGTGCACGTGTGCGTGTGTCTGTGAGCAGGCAGGGGTATATGATTTCACGGTAATGACAAAGTAGCTCTTTTGGTCTTTCAGTTGTGTTTCAGTGGGCGCTTTATGTTGAAAGTCTTGTTCCATATCAGTTGGGTACTAGGTTTTGAGCTGTGTCACATGTTTGAATTGAGTTAGAATCATAGAATCAGCTAAGTTGGAAAAGACCTCCAAGATCATCAGGTCCAACCGTTGATCCAACACCACCACGATTAATACAACTGTGGCACTAAGAGCCACATCCAGTCCCATCTTAAAAACCTCCAGGGACAGAGGCAGCCCCTTCCCTGGGCAGCCCATTCCAATGTCTAATTACTCTCTCCATAAAAAATTTCTTCCTAATATGCAACTGAAACCTCCCCTGGCAGAGCTTAAGATTGTGCCCTCTTGTCCTTATCATATGATGAACTGTCATGTTGGAAAGTACTTGTAAGACGTCGACTAGGAAAACCAAATTGTTTCAGGTTTGATAGCAAATAAAATAATTGTGCCATCTTATCAGCAGTTCTAATAATATTCAGCCATACTTTCTGATAGAAAGGGCTTTATCCAATTTCTTCACAAATGAGCAACTCCGGATTCTGTACTGAACAGCTGAGGAGCTTAATTTCAGTTCAACAACTTGAAATATCTTGCCTATAGTGTGAAATTGGAGTGTGTTTCTGTGTGAAAAAAGAATGGGGACCTCTTTTTTTCCTTTATGTAGCTAAAACTTAGTCATCCTGGCAAACTTTTTTAAGTTGAGAAGTAAAGGAGATGAAAGCAAATGACCATCACAAGTGCTGCTGCTGCTTTTTGTCTCTGTGACAAGATTATGATGATCCTAATATAATTTTAAAAGGTATTTGTAAACCTGTGGTTTTTTTCATCATATGAAAGATAACTCTAATTTAAAAAAAAATCAAAATATTCATTGTAACTTCTTTGCAGCTCCTTACAAATACTCTGTACTGGTGCGATCACAGGCAGAGCCCAGTGATAACAGTTTGAAGTATCTTTTTTTGGTGAGATTTGTACATACAGCTATTAATTCTTCGTATTATTTACAAGTTTACATGTAAGGGCAGCTAAATTAGCATTCTCTTCAAACTAAGCTGTCCCTAAGTGCCAGTGAGAGCTTTAATGTCTTGATTCAAGCCTGATGTAGGTGCCTGTGTGTTAGCTCTAGGAATACACAGCCCTAATAGAGAATATTGCCCATGGAAGGCAAACGTTGAGGTTTCATTGTCATTCCTGGAACTGAAATAATGTCTGACTGGCCCTTTTGGGTTTTGGAAGCCCGGTGGGTGCAGCTCTGCCTTTGGTATAAACTGACCTAGCGTTAAACATGTGCATGCCGTGTCCTGCACTGCCAGTAATATTTGTGGTGACTTGGATCAAAAAGATTATCCAGCTGGAAGAAACCCATCCCTGTCTTCTCTTCCCTGCCCAAAATTCAATAATTTATTCGTGGGGACATTGAAGAGGAAAGTTTGTATGTATTCTAATTCTTTTGCTAAAGTAATAGTATTTACAGCACTAGTAGCACCTGAAGTTTGGCCAGAGAAGCGGGAGAAGACAGTGCCTCATTCAAGGATTCCAGCCTGTAGGATCGATCATAAAAGGTGAGGACAGTAGATGGGGAAGGATTACTCTTTGGTAGGGTGGAAGTGAAGAAATAGTACTCCTTTATAGCAGTTTAGTGATGCTTACATACTGCATTTTGGAAGTAGTCTATATCTGAGAAACATAATGTATCGTAATAGAAAAAGCAAGGATTGAACCTGCTTCAGATCATGTTGAAACACTTCTTAGCTGTAATGTGGGAGTATTTCTTCTACTAAGTGATAAACAAACTTACAGCTCATATCTGCTTAATTCAGCACCTTGAATTCAGCATATAGAATTGTCATTTGAAAGAAATTCTTAATATTTTACTTTTTCAGGTTTTTTTGTTGTTTAAAAATACATAAATAATTTGAAAGGCTGAGGGTCTTTTCCTAAGCCCAGGAAAAAAAAATTAGTTGATGATTGATTGCCAGATTTAAAAAAAGTTTAAGGTAGTTTCTTAGTGCCTGCAGCCCTTGTTGGGGTAGTGTCTTTCGAAACACTGTGCAAGTCCCTAATAAACCACTGTTGCTTTGAAGTTAAACTTTTAACTTCCCAATGATTAAATCATATACTTTATAGAAATACAAGGTTTTCTGCTTTGTGGAATGTTGAAATTGTAGGTATCTCATGTTTCCCTCATTTAGAAATAAAATCTCCCATCAGTAGGCCTGTCAGTCGCATGTGCTGGGAAGAATCCTTCAGAAAGCTTCTTTAATTGTCTCTTATAATATAGCATGCATGGTTCCTTAATATCTTGTTATTTATAATTGAACTTCAGTTATAAAGAAGAGTTTGTGGTTGTTGGAAGTTCTGGCCACAC